AAGCCGCAACACAACAAAATTGCCACAACACAACAGAAACCAGCCGGAACACAACGAAATTGGCACAACACAACAAAAACAAGTCGCAACACAATAAAAACAAGTCGCAACACAACAAAATTGCCACAACACAATGGAAACAAGTCGCAAAATGTACATGGTTACAGAAAAGCCACACCAGCAATTTTATTTCGGCACATACGCCTTTTCTTTTACTTGGGTAAAATAAATAAATCCTGGAAATATATTGAATTTTTTTAATTGTTTGTCATGGAATAGTAATTTTTAATGGATACAAATCAGAATGTATATCTATTTTAGCTATTACAAACTATTTCTATTTCATATTATTTTGAACTTTTATCAAAGAATCCTGCAAAAAATTAAGCAAAACAACTTTTAAAGATTGATTAAAAGAAATGTTTCTTGAACAGCTTGAAATCATCATATCTGAACAATGTGCCACTGAAGACTGGAGTAACGGATGCTAAACAATTCAGCTTGATTGATGATTTTTTTATTATTGTAATATTTCACAATATTACCGTTTAACTGTATTTTTGTTCAAATAAATGCAGCCTTGTTTGAGACTTCTTTCGAAAACTTTTTTTTTTAACTTACAGACCCCACATTTTTGAACAGTAGTGTATTTCTAAAACACTTCATACATTTTTTTTGTGAGTTAAAAATATTAAATACATTTTAAAATCCGGCAATTGCAAATGCCCAGAAAAACATAAATGTTGGTCAGAAGGTGTGCTTGACCCCTGACGTTCTCTGCCAGTGTCTTGACTTGAAATGATGTATCTTTAGATGATTTTGTTTTCATCTGTGTCTGATTTCCCACACTTCCATAATGGTCTTCTAGGCTCCGTTCAGATGAAAGCCCCAGGATCAAAAGTCACACTGCAGGAAGGAATGGTATTGGACTGCCTGTGTCCGTGGACTGGCCAGCTCATTATGGTCTCTTGGACTAAAAAGTCTCTTTCACAACCTGTAGCTGTTTATCATCCTCAGTATGGCTCCAACTATGAGTCGTCATATGACGGCAGAGTGACGTTTCTGAAATCCACCGTGATGGACGGCAGCATTTCCATAATGAATGTCACTGAGGGTGACATCGGCCAGTATCATTGCTCTCTGCAGACTTATCCTCAGGGTTCATGGACCAAAGACACATTTGTCGAAAAAGCAGGTGAATTATATTTCACCATGTTACATTTTTCCCAAAAATGGGAAAAATGGGTGACCCAATAGGTTTAACCCTGAATTGTGATTCCAAAGTATACAGTAAGAATTGCTAACTAGGTTCATACTCTTATTCTAGATCATATAGACTTATACTCCTTTTTTTTGTCTAGTAATCACCCCCACCTTCTCTATTCAACCGGACACTAATTTGGTGGCCGCAGAGAACGACAACCTGACCATTACGTGTGACCTTGTCCACAACGGTGAGGTTTACCAAGTAAGCATTGAGAAACTGGACACCGAGGTGGGCGGTAGTAATATTATAGCAACATGTCAGATGCTAGAAGATGGCGTGGAGCTGAGTGAGTTCAACAGTAGAGGACGACTGAACTGTAGTGATGCTATGGAGGTCAGTCTGCACCTCACCAACATTGTCAAAGAAGATGGAGGACTCTACCGCTGCAACTTCAGCACAGATGCCGGTGTCCGGTCCACCACAATCCTGCTGTCCACTCTACCTGCTCAAGGTAGGACAAGGGCTGAACTATCTGTTTATTTACAGCATAGGTGCCCAAACTGTTCTCTACAAAGGACCAAAAAGTCATTATGCATGGCATAATTTTTGTTGCTATTTTCCCCCTCTTGTGATCTGGCATGGTGGGCCAAACCAAAGGTCATCACGGACCAACTTCGGCCCACAGATCCTGGTTTGGACACTTTTGTCCACATTTCCACAAATAATTTGGGGGGTGAATTAAAATAAGAAATATTTTCATTTTGATTTGTTTTAGCTTGATTTGCATTTTATAAAACAACAACAAGAACAAGTCATTGATGCCCCCTAGTGGACCCCGGGCCCTTGTTTGAGAACAACTGCCATACTAAAATTTTCTTTTACCATTTTTTTTTTCAACACAAAATATAAAATTGATATGAAAAATGTTAATGTCATGTAATAAGCATTTTTACCCCCTTTGCGAAGACTTGGCAAATATAAAAAATTTTACGCCATTTTTTGTGACCAAAAAAAGTCATTGTCAGTAGTGTAGCAATTTATGAAGCACAGCTCACACAGAAATTGCTTTCAAACAATGCAGTTTTCTTTTGGTCATTGTATCTGTAATAACGGACCGAACCAGGGTAAATGTAACTGTACTTTTGATACAAAAATGTTTTTTTTTTCTGAACCTATGACCAACAACATGTAAAATACATTGCTTAGGCTATCAAACAAGATTTAATGTATATAAGAAGCATGAAAAATCAAGAAATTAAATGATTTTATTATTTTTTTAAAATCCCAAAAATTGTCATTTTGCATTCAAGGTTCTTAATTTTGATTCTGGATAGTTAGTATCTATTTTTGAAGAACTAGTTAAGCCAAACTATTACTTTTTTTCATACTCTTCATACTGTTTTATTTTGAGAAGTACAACACAAGTTAAAACACTGTCCTGCTGCAGCTCAGATCATAAATTGTTCATACATTTTTTCCTTAGACTTAAATACTTAAATATTTGATTTAGCTGAAGTTTAATGGCTGTTTATCCCTTATTTCAGATTTTAGGGGTCTTCATGTATGTGTATATGTGTATATTGGAGGAGGGCTGGTTGGTGTCGCTCTTCTGATGATTTTATTACTGACGTGGCTGAACAGGTGTGTCATATTACTGTATTATTCATAAATGCCCAGCAGTTTATTTTTTTTTACAGTGGCCCAGTAGTACACAACACAACGAAAACAAGCTGCAACACAACGAAATTAGCACAACACAATGGAAAAAGCCACAACAGTGAAATTAGCACAACACAATGGAAACATGTCACAATACAACGGAAACAAGCCACAACAGCGAAATTAGCACAACACAACAAAAACAAGCCGCAACACAACAAAATTGGCACAACACAACGGAAACCAGCCGGAACACAACGAAATTGGCACAACACAACAAAAACAAGTCGCAACACAATAAAAACAAGTCGCAACACAACAAAATTGCCACAACACAATGGAAACAAGTCGCAACACAACGAACCGCCCTTGTAAGGTGTAGACTGACATGTGGAGTGAGTGAGATGATTTTGGGTGGATGTGCTATGTGCTCTCGGGCTCCTGCTGCTGGTTTCATCACTCTGTGTGTGGGCAGGTCCTGCATGGTGGAAGAATCTGGAACTCTAGAGTCACAGCTAGAGGCCACCAAGGTGAGTTTGAGAGCACTCGATGGATAATTGAGACCCGTTTGGTGAAGCTGATCGATTGTGAATAACAAAATGAAGCATTAGTGTATTAAATAATATCATCAATAGAATATTGTGAAATATTATTACAACTTAAAATAACTTCTATTTTAATATATTTAATATTTTAGATGGCAAAGCTGAATTTTCAGCTTTTTCTGATTATTATCGCAACACAACGAAATTGGCACAACACAACAAAAACAAGTCGCAACTCAACGAAATTGCCACAACACAACAGAAACAAGCTGCAACACAACGAAATTGGCACAACACAATAAAAACAAGTCGCAACACAACGAAATTGGCACAACACAACAGAAACAAGCCGCAACACAACGAAATTGGCACAACACAAAAAAAACAAGTCGCAACACAACGAAATTGGCACAACACAATAAAAACAAGTCGCAACACAACGAAATTGCCACAACACAATAGAAACAAGTCGCAACACAACGAAATTGGCACAACACAACGGAAACAAGCCGCAACACAACAAAATTGGCACAACACAACAAAAACAAGTCGCAACACAACGAAATTGGCACAACACAACAGAAACAAGCCGCAACACAACGAAATTGGCACAACACAATAAAAACAACCC